CATTTTATCTAACTCACAACACCCTCTTCATTCACAACTCTCCCCTTGCATTTCATCAGGTAAAACCAGAAGCCTATATAGAAAACTATATGCTCGCACTAGCAAGTACAAAAACTCAACCATACCCTACTTAGCTCGTGTTCTGTGCGATAAAGAAAGCATTAGGATGGTATCTATACCTTATTAAATAGTCACTAGAACAACTGGATCTCGTCTTTCCAACTCATATCATTTATAGGTACAACGTTTTCTTTCTTTTCCTTTTCTGTCTCTTTTTTTGCTATGTGCTGTTTTGTTTCTTTCTTCCTTCTTTCACACTCTGTATATCTCGACCTTTTTGTTACCCCTTACGCCGGTAAATATGCTTGTATCCACTTTTCTAACACCTTCAAACACTGTTCAACTTTGGCTTTGCTACCGATATGCTAATATGTTGTTGTCAAAACTGACTGAGATAACCAATAATCTATGTAGAATTCTATTTATTGATAATGTACTAACTGGATGGAATACTGTAGTAGAAATGCTGAGAATTCCATTCTGTATCACATGTACTGTTTTGGAATAAAGCAAATTATTATTATTATTAAATTAATCCTGTAAATGCTGACGACTAACTAAAGATTTCAAGTTTTGATTCTTTTCGTATAATATATTATCTATTCGTTGTCTTCGAATCAGAACACAAGGCTTCAAGCTTTGAGTTTCGGTGTTGTTTTACTTTACGGGGTCAGTTTGTTAGCCTTGCGTCCAGCAATCCCTCTTTTTCTGGCTTTTTACCAGCTAGGCGAGGTTTAGTAGTGCATCGTCCCAAAAACCAAGTCCAAACCTATCACAGAGCAGTTGAGCATTTTAAGTCTCAACTAATAAAAACTAATATTGTTGGGGTGCAGTTGAATTCGAGTTGGTTGCATTAATCCTTTTAATTTATGGGCTGCTACTACGAAGGGATTAATTTATTGTTTATTCTGGAGGAAGCTGTAGTCTACCTTGCTCACTAGCGGATGCAGTCCTTTTTTTTCACCGTAGACATCAGTGACAAAGATCAAATTTGTACATGTCTTTTTAGTAACTTTGTTAATCTGTAAAGTTTTAAGTTCGTAGAAATACCTGGAAAAAAAATCACCTGATCTGTATTCAACCTAGAAGATGACGTCATGAATCAACGAGTAGACAAGTTCCAGTGGAGTTACAACCAGAGAATAAAACTTCTACAATTAGACGTCAAAGCTAGGAAAACATTTAGTAAGAATAGGATTATCTACGCCTCGTACAAAGATGAAAAATATTATAGATTTATAGACCAGGTGAAGTTTTTGTTTTGAAGTCAAAATACTGAAGTTGGAGCTGATGACGTTGTCCACTAAGAAAATGAAAGCTTCGCAATAAAACCATCCAGCTTACAGAACACACCAACAGTAAAATATAATTTACACTTCAATAAATACTAATTCCTTGACTGCAACTTGTCTAATGCATATCTCTTTGTAACTCTTTCTGTACATTTCTATAGCCTGTATTTGTGTTTGGAAAGGTTGAAGACTGGTTAACAATGATGGAAGCTGAAATGCGAAGTACAAATCGTTTATTGACTAAAAAAGCCATCTTCTATTACTGTGATCAAAAGTCACGTGTTGATTGGATGTTTGATTTTCAGGTGAGTTTATATGCATCTCAAAGACACTTTACAATAATATTGATCTCTTTGGTGACATAGATTTTGTCGCAGACAGACATAAGGTGGGGGAATTATTGCAAACCCCGGAGGGCTGAACATTCGTTTCGTCCTAGTTCGTGAATCTTCAGGAGTTGGATCCCGGCTAAGCTAAGGGCTCACCTCATAATCTAAAGGCCATGGGCTCAATCCCCAGTGTAATTATAAGTGCATGGTGCTGAAGAGTCCGAGACTAAGTTGGGAATATTGTCCACTAATCCCTGGTTTTCTATCGTTCTCTAACCCAAGTCTGCTAGTGACCTACCATGAAACCATTGTTTCGAATAATAATTTCAGTTAAAAGTCTGAGAAATATGTTATATTGTTCTACTTAAAATATTTTCCCAGAAGGTATAGCATAAAAAGGTATTACAAAGAGTTCTGTGACGCAACAAACTGTCTGACCTTATGTTTCTAAACTGTTCATTTTAAATAAATAAATATGGAGTCTGAACAAAGCAAGAACTACAGTTTTAGCAGAATAAAATGGTACCATCTTTTATTTCGTTGCCTTCTCATCAGCTGGTTACAGGGCAAAGACATTACTAAATATATCTACAAAAACAATTCTAACATACTTGCACAGAGTTCATTTTAAACAAAAATCAACCGATCAATGTACGCATAAACTAATAATATATACACATATATATGCAATATTAAACACAATTCCGAACAATAATAATCATACACAATGAAAACTTTTCAGTATTTCACATTCAGATGAAAAATATCCAGTTACCAGGGCAAAGAAAGACTGATAACCGCTTCTTTCTGAACGCACAAATCAGGTTTCAGGCGCTTGATGGAAATGGCTTCAGCAAACTTAAGAAGAATTGAGCTCTTTTGCTTATTGATAATTTTGAACGACTTTTCGACGTCCACCTCATGACCCCTGTCGAGGAGATGCCTGGCGATGTCACTGTTTAAAGCATTTGTTCCCTTTAGACGTAAGCTTTTTGGTATATGTTTAGAAAATCGTAGATATGCCCCTCTTTCTGTTCTTCCAATGTAACTGCTACCGCAGATACATGTTTAAAATGAACTCTGTGCAAGTATGTTAAAATTGTTTTTGTAGATACATTTAATAATGTCCTTGCCCTGTAACCAGCTGACGAGAAGGCAACGAAATAAAAGATGGTACCATTTTATTCTGCTAAAACTGTAGTTCTTGCTTTGTTCAAATTCATTAAGGGGAATAAATGTATGAAATATAGAGTCATTATCAAGCATTTAACAGTCCTTAAGAAGGAGTTGTAATTAGCCATCTCTATATTGCTAATAGACCAAATCTACACTATGTAACTTGAGAGAGAGAGAGAGGACAAGACATATTGTGCTACTTCACCCAGATAACAGAAAGACAATGGTAGGGTTAAATCAAAATCGCTGTTAAGCAGTCGATAAATATAAGCCAGTTTACAATAATCAGTTTGTTATAAGACTGTTGGTGTGTACTGTGTTATATGAAAATGCTGACGACTACCTGAATATCACTCTGATGCTCACTAGCGACTGGCTCTATTCAGGTGGGTAGTCATCTGGATTCTAGTAAGAAGTCGTGAGATACAGCACGTCGGGAGTGAGAACAAATACTAGCCACCGATGACACTGACTGGTGGTTGCAATACATAATGAATTGAGAGAAGTTGGAATTCATGGGTTGACCATCGGATTGAGTCCCAGTGGCTTAATGGTTTGTGAGTTCGTCATGCAACCGGAAGGTTCTGGGTTTGAACCCTGATGGTGGATGCGTATTGCCGAAGAGTCCCAGATTAGGACGAAAATGTTATTGTAATTATCTCATAATGCCTAAAGACAGCTAACCTCTTCAGGGTATACACTTTCAACGGCCACGTTTCACAGCCACACAGATAGGTAGATTGATCTTTTGTGCAGTATACATGTCTTCTGATGGATAACCGGTTATTATGTCTATACAGATGTGGAGATTTTGGCAGCAGTACGTTGATTGGGGCTGGTTCAACTCCTAAAATAAATGAAGTAGATAATACGCTCAAACACTTCACTCCTTATTTTTAAACTAGGAGTAAGTGCAGACCAGTTAAGAATATAAGAAGACGTTTAAAATAGGGTTTTAGAGGCTGGCGGTATTGACGTTCGCGAATTGTACGGAGTATACTAACGCAAGATCTTATACCAACAACTTCTATAGTATTCGTTCCTCGTGTACCAAAGACAAAGCGAAACGCCACAAATGATCGTCCAAAGTACGAGATATATTTCGGGACCAAATAGTAAACTGTACTGAGTGCTTGACTAACTAGTGATCGTGCACGAACGTGACACTACGGAGTACCAAATGGCATGGATGCTTGACCGGAAGCGTTCAGCTAAGCAAGTTGACTTAAACAGTGAGGGTCAGCACCCAATGTTCAGTGATGATCGCTGTGGTTAATAATTTGGGGGAAAAATTTACCGCTACAGCTCATTCCCCCCCTAGTGGGGTTGTGAGGACCCTAAGACAGAACCAGCCGGAAGTAAAAGAAACACGATGGTTCCCTTAAGGATGAAAAAAACTCTTCCGAGCTGCTTGGTGGAGTGCCTCTGGTCTGTCTGCCTACGCTAATAGGGTGTTTGTACATGGCTTCCTTGATGTTGTTCGTTGGATCTCGTGCTTCGTTTGTTTCTTCTCCAGTGCCTGTGGCACCTGGAAAAGAAAACAAGAATGAAGTAGTTATCCTAAGTGGTAGTTACAGAAATTAGGACATTTTCATTGCAAAAATTGCTTAGAATCGCCCTATAGTTTATTCCCTTTCCAACTTAGGATATGTTATAAACAATAATACACAGGAAAATGACAGTCCAGTGTATATATAATGCTGCATTCGGCTTCAAAAATCCAAGTCGTTTTCATTCAAACACTTCAAAATTGCTTATTTTAAGAATATGAGAACGAAATCTGCTTCTTGACAGAAGCAAGAAGAATAAATTAAACAAGATCAGATAAATAACATTTTCAAGTAAGATTTCGTTACGAACTGGCATACCTTTTAGAGGACCAGAACCGAAGACCTTCCAGTTATAAGACCATATATTTTGCAGTCGAATGAATTGTTACTTCTATCGTGGACTGATGCCCTGTGGGTTCGTGCACACGTGCTTCTGAGAAGTTTCTGACTAGGACGAAGGAGATGTTCAATGTTACTGGGTTTTGAATAGTCCTGTAATCGATTTTATTTTGTTATGAAATCAACCAAATCTTTACAATTCAGTACTCCTAAAATAAATTTATCCTTTTCAACATCATTAAAACATTTAACAGGGGATGATTGTACTCGCTGCATCACAAGTATGGTTTACATGGGAAATTGAAGATGTTTTTCGTAGTTTTAAACAAGGCAATCGTACAGCAATGAAAGATTTCAATAAAAAACTTGAATCACAATTAAATGAAATGATTTATAAAATCCGTGGTGATTTAACAGCAAATGATATGAAAAAACTTGAAACTGTACTCATTATTGATGTACATGCTAAAGATATGGTTGAAAAATTTATTCGCGATAGGTAAGTTGAAGTAGTCGATTGAATGGTTTTATTTAAACTTTAAAAAAAATTTACTTTCACTGGTAAAAAATATATAATTAGAAGTTATTAGATTTCAAGATGAGTTTTCCTGGGAATCAACGTTTCATTTAATTATGGAAGGAATACATGTTAGTAATCAAGTATTAGATGGAAATCCATCGGCCTATAGTTTTCTATCTCCCTGTGATTCAGCATTGTAACGACAGAAGACAAGGGCCAGGTTAAAGTTCGTTTATTGAGAAAATCAACAGATAATTATAGATTTTTATGTACATTATTATTCGTTATTGTAGGCAGAGAAACAGCGTCTTCTGATTGGTTGTTTTCTCGCTGAAAGTTATTCTGTCATCTCTTTGTGAACATTTCTTTGAAGGTCAGACCATATATTTCTGCGAATCGTATCCGCCCACGCAAAGGCTGCTGTGATTGGTTGCTGAGTTAGTCTTTGTTCTTGTTTTGTTTTTCTCATGACCAAGATATGGGATGTAAACATTGACGTAATTTGCTCTCTACCAATTTCGGCTTGCAGACAGCTCTCACCAAAGTATAACTTCAGATTATGTTGTTTTGACTTTTGATGTTTCCTTTTTTAACTTATGTCTTATAGTGAGGAAAGCTAATTTAAACAGTAAATTCCTTCAGATACAGCATTGAAGTGTATATTATACCAGTTGAATAAACACACTGAAAATTGAAAAAACTGCTTTTCTTATGATCTGAAACTTTTCAGTGACACATATATATTAATTTATTATTATTATTATAATATTATTATTGTTCCCTTGGGTTCCATGTGGAAGTTAAGGTCTCAACAGCACATCTCCACTTTGTTCTATTCACTGAGGCACTCTTTAGCTGGTCCAAGTACTGATCATAGTATCTCGTCTCCTCCGCTTACTTTTTCCTCCATGCCACCTTCGAAGCCGCGTTCAATTCATCATTTGCCAGTTGGGTTCCTTGCCGAGCGATAGCCTGCGTTAAGCGCTATGTCAAGCGACGGTCTCCTCAGCGTGTGCTCAATTCACCTCCGTTTTCCATTATGGGTAAATTTTATTTTGATAGAGTCTCACAGTGTTATACAGTAATATTTACTGATGACGTTTCGAGCACAATTTATTGCTCATAATCATATCAAGTTAATCACACGACTTCCTAAATTCATTTATATAGTTCCATTGTTTTTCACTTGATTTTCACTTGATTTGATCGGTAGTATTATTTTCCATATTTCAGGTATGAGTGATGATTCATTCCTATTGCATGTGTTGGGTGTAGATTCGATGAACAAGGATTCAGTAATCAACCTCTCTCTCCACCTACCTAGATTTCTTTTTAGAATTTTAACCCTCTCCCACCCTATTGTGTGGTTGTGTGTTAATGCATGCATTGCAATTGCCGAGCTTTTTTCTAAATTACTTATCTTCTCTGGGTCAACCATTCTTACCTTAGCTAAATTCTTATGTTCTGACAATCTGACTACCCCTGACCTACTAGTTTGACCTATGTAGTTGACCTCACTCACAGTCATTGCAGGGTATTTTGTAAATTATATTATTTTGTCTAATTGGGTCAACCAGCCTACAGGGTCCTTTAACCTACAGAGCTTGTCCCTGAGTGAGTTTGTAGGTTTAAATGCCACCGTAATTCCTGCTTTATTAAGAATCCTACGTAGGGTCTCAGATGTCCCCTCTTTATATGCTATAACTGTAGATGACTTTTATTCTCTCTTATTTATGTTATTATTACTAGTTTCACAATTGTTTTTATTTTTATTTTGGCGTTTTTCAATCTTCCTAATGAATTTTAGAGGATAGTTATTTAAAACCAACGCCTCTTCTATCTGTTTTATCTCGTCGTTTAGGTCTTTTTTTGTGCTACTTAGTGCTATGGCTCGGTTTGTTAAACACTTAACTAAGCCTGCCTTAACAGTTAAAGGATGAGATGAATTAAAGTCTAAATATCTATTAGAATGCGTTGGTTTTCTAGAAACACTAGTGTGTAGTTTTCCTTCTTCTATTCGTTTGATTTTACAATCTAACATAGCTAATTCTCCTTGCTCATTTTCGGTTACAAATGTGAATTTTATTTCCTCCACTAGTGAGTTTATGTGTGTCAAGAAGCTAGAGATGTGTTCTGTTTTTAACACTGTGAAAGTGTCATCCACATATCCCCACCATATTTTTGGAGTAGGATTAAACGTATTAAGTGCCATATTTTCCCAGCTGTCCATAAATATATCTGCATAAATATATCTGCTACGTGCGTCGGTGGCACAGTGGTTAGGACTCTCGCCGACCATGTACATGGTCCGGGGTTCGATCCCCTGCCGGCGCACACCCGATATCTATGGTCGGCCTGAATTTGGGCTACCGATATCCATGCTGAAAATTCCACACTTGTATTGAAAATACGGTGTGGAATCAAGCTGTAAATTAAAATAAATAAATTAAAATAAAAAATACGATAGGGGATATTGGTGATCCCATTGCTACGCCTTCTGTTTGTCTATATATTTTGCCTTGGAATTTAAATATGGTAGATGTGAGGCATAGCTGAATTCCTAAAATAATTTCTTCAATGGACAGCTTTGTTCTATGATTGAGTTCAGTATCCGCAGTTAGTTCCTTTTTAACTGCTTCTAAAGCCAGATAGAAGAGGCGTTGGTTCTAAATAACTATCCTCTAAAATTCATTAGAAAGATTGAAAAACGCCAAAATAAAAATAAAAACAATTGTGAAACTAGTAATAATAACATAAATAAGAGAGAATAAAAGTCATCTACAGTTATAGCATATAAAGAGGGGACATCTGAGACCCTACGTAGGATTCTTAATAAAGCAGGAATTACGGTGGCATTTAAACCTACAAACTCACTCAGGGACAAGCTCTGTAGGTTAAAGGACCCTGTAGGCTGGTTGACCCAATTAGACAAAATAATATAATTTACAAAATACCCTGCAATGACTGTGAGTGAGGTCAACTACATAGGTCAAACTAGTAGGTCAGGGGTAGTCAGATTGTCAGAACATAAGAATTTAGCTAAGGTAAGAATGGTTGACCCAGAGAAGATAAGTAATTTAGAAAAAAGCTCGGCAATTGCAATGCATGCATTAACACACAACCACACAATAGGGTGGGAGAGGGTTAAAATTCTAAAAAGAAATCTAGGTAGGTGGAGAGAGAGGTTGATTACTGAATCCTTGTTCATCGAATCTACACCCAACACATGCAATAGGAATGAATCATCACTCATACCTGAAATATGGAAAATAATACTACCGATCAAATCAAGTGAAAATCAAGTGAAAAACAATGGAACTATATAAATGAATTTAGGAAGTCGTGTGATTAACTTGATATGATTATGAGCAATAAATTGTGCTCGAAACGTCATCAGTAAATATTACTGTATAACACTGTGAGACTCTATCAAAATAAAATTTACCCATAATGGAATTACACTCTACCACAGCGCCCAAGTTTTATTCTTATGTCACCTCCGTTTTCTTCTGCATATTTATTGAGCAATAGGTTGTTGATTGGTTCACCCTCATAGTTTCTTGTTGCTAATTCTTTCTGGTCATTTGATCCTCTATATAAAGTGAAGGCAGCTGTTGATGGAGGTATGCAACTGGCTGTTAGAAATGCTCTTTGTGACGCATTCGCCAATTTTATGACTCATACAGAAGAAGATGAAGGTGTACCTCGCTTTTCCGATTCTGGTCTGTTTTGACATCCTCATCCGTGCTGTTGCTTGCAGTTGAAACGATGCTACCTAGTGAGATAAGTGAAAGAAGTGACCGTTTTCAAATTTATTCCGTTGATAGTGATTGGTGTTTGCTGTCGTTTTTGGTTTGTTATCCTCAACATCTCCACCTTCTCTGTGTTTGTTCCCAGGTTTATTACCAGCCAGGAAACTAGTGAACTAGTTAACTAGACAATTTCGCTGAACAAATAAGCCTAAGGGAATGGCGATGGACTGGAGACACGCTGAGATGATATCACATAATAAGAAGACCTTAGAATGGAATCAGAATGATTTTTAAGTATTGGTTTGTAGGGATTTTGTTTGATTGGTTACAGGATCTCATCATGAGCTGACATTGGTTAGAGAACCATTGGAAAACCACTAGGGAGTACTGGATAGCTGTTTCTTTCTAGTTGGGGACTCTTCGTCAGTAAGCTCCCACTGGGGTTCTAACCCAGAACCTCCTGGTTACATGACGAACTCGTAGATCGTTAAGCCACTGGTACCCTATCCAATGACCAACCCATGAATTCCAACTTCTCTCAATTCATGATGTATTGCGACCACTTGTCAATGTCATCGGTGGCTAGTATTTGTCCTCACACCCGACATGCTGAACCCTATTGGTCACGACTTCTCACTAGAACCCCAGGAAACCACCTAACTATCAGAAACGACGGATTGTTCTTGGGTCAGAGAGAAATAATCGTGGAGTCAGACAAAAAAGTATTCCAGAGAACAGGGTGTAATGGAGATATATTTTTGAAGGACTATGCTTCGCTTAGAACCCAAGGAAATAATAATTATTATTATTATTGTATCCTTTAATTCCTAGAGGAACATAGGGCTTCAGCCGTGTGTCTCCATTGCGTTCGGTTCTCTGCTAGAGTCTTCACCTGGCTCCATGTCTGCCCACACGTTTTCATCTCCTCTTCACATCACCTCCTCCAAGTCACCCCACCTTCGCACTGACGACCAACTCGCCGCTTCCCTTTCGGGTTCCACTCGAGCAATGGCTTGTCTAGTGATGTCACTTGATGGTTTGTTTCCTAAGAGTATGGCCAATTCATCTCCATTTCTTCCTGCTTATTTGTCTCACAATCGGTTCCTGCTCGGTTGGTTCGCTCATTGCCAGAGATCTCTATTGCTGATCTTTTCTGGCCATCTGATCTTGATTGGTATTGAGCAAAGGCGGCTGTTGATGAAGGTGTGTAGTTTGTTTGAGGTGCTCTTTATGACGCGCAGTGCGAGTCTCTGATCCATCCGTATAGTAGCACTGACTTCACATTGGAGTTGAAAATTCGGATCTTATTCTCATTTTCATGCTGAGTGCTGTTGACCTCCACACAGACTTGATGAGAGTAGTGAAAGTTTGTCTTGCTTTTCCGATTCTTGCTTTGATATCCTCGTCAGTTCCGTCTGCCTGTAGTGAGACGATGCTTCCCAGGTAGGTAAAGGAGGTTGTTTCTTTCAGGTTCCTCCCATTTATGCTGATTGTTGTCTGTTGTTGTTGCTGTTGGTGGTGTTGGCCAGGAATCTTCATCACCTCTGTTTTCTCTATGTTCACCTGAAGTCCATTCTTTGATCCTTCTTCTGCCAACTTGTTGCTTTTCGCTTGCATATCTTCCAGCTTGTGGGAAATCAGACATATATCATCGGCGAAGTCCAGATCCTCCAAGATTTTTGTGAGGATCCATTTTATGCCTGTTTCCTCACTGCCCGCTGTTTGTCACATTATCCAATCTACTGCAATCAGGAGAATCATTGGCGATAGGAGGCAGCCTTCTCTTACTCCTGTCCTTACTTTGAAGTATTCCGTAAGTTTCCCATTTTGGATTACTTGACATGCAGCATTGTCGTACAACTGTTGGATGAGATGTATGGTTGTCGGTGGCATAATAATAGTAGTAAATAACAAATAGTTTAAAAATATGAACATAGATGTTAAATTGAGCTTATTTCCATTTTGTGTTTGTTATTTTCTCTTTGGAAAAATAATAATAAAACATGATTTCAATTTTATTTAGTATAATGGTACCAGATGATTTTGCATGGGAATCACAATTACGCTTTTATTGGGTACGTAAACCAGATGAATTAGTTGTACGTCAGTGTTCAGCTGAATTTGATTACGGATATGAATATTTTGGATTGAATGGTCGACTGGTTATCACACCGTTAACTGATCGAATCTATTTAACACTGACACAGGTAAGTAAAACATCATCTATGCTCAGCTATTTGCTTAACAACACTTAGATCAGCAGTAATACTGTAACTATACAAGACAAGGGCCAGGCAACAAGTCGCTTATTGAGAAAATCAATAGATATTTATAGATGTTTATGTACATTATTATTCGTTATCGTTAGCAGAGAAACAACGTCTTCTGATTGGTCGTTTCCGTGTTGAAGGTTATTCTGTACTGCTTTTGGCTGTTTCTTAGAAAGTTAAGCCACATATCTGCGAATCGTATTTGCACACGCCAAGTCTGCTGTGATTGGTTAATGAGTTCCTCAAGGTTAGGCATTGTTCTTGTTTCTTCTCATGACTCCGATTCGGGACGTAAGGATTGACGTCAATTGTTGTCTACAATTTTGTCTTGCAGACAGCCCTCACCACAATACTACATATGAAGTATGTCTTTTACTAAATGGGGCATAGCGAAGTCACATATTTACACAGGCTAACTGTCAATGTGGACTGGATTATGCGTCAGACAGTGGGAAACGAGAAGACAGGGATATCCTGGGCCGACGCGAAGAGCCTAGAAGACCTGGATTTCGCGCGTGGATGATTTATGTTTGATGTCACACAAAATCAAAGACTTACAAACGAAAACCGAAAAACTGGTCGAAGAAGCAGCAAAGACAGGACTGACTCCAGGTGAACATAGACAGGACGGAGGTTATGAAAATAACCAACCAACCAGTAACAACAACAGCAACAACATCCAGCGCCAATCACCATCAACGGGAGGGATTTGAAAGAGGTTACTTCATTCACTTATCTAGGGAGCATTGTCTCAACTACAGGAGGAACGGACGACGATGTCAAATCGAGAATCGGGAAGGCGAGAAACACATTCATCAACCTGAAACCAATCTGGAAATCTTCGTCACTCAACTCAACATCAACAACAAAATTCGGATTTTCAATACAAACGTCAAGTCAGTTCTTCTATACGGATGGATCAGAAACTTGGCCAGTGTGTCACCAAGAATATTTCCAACAGCCTGTTGCAGACCTTTATCAACAACTAACTGTTTTCGCTCTATACTGAATATCAGATGGCCGGAAAGAATCACCAACAGGAAACTATGGGAACAAACAAAACAAGAACCAATCGCTCAACAAATATGCAGGAGAAAGTGGAGATGGATTGGACACTCGCTGAGGAGGCCACTCACTGGGTGACATCGTGCGTCAGGCCATAGCTCCAGTGGAACCCAAAAGGGAAGCGGCGAATGGGTCGTCAGTGTTAGGGTGACATGGAGGAGATCGTGTGAAGAGGAGATGAAACAGTATGGATTAACATGGATGCAAGTGAAAAGTACAGCAGAAGACAGAAGCAAGTGGAGACATGTAGTTGAAGCCCTATGTTCCACTAGGAACCCAAGGGAACAATAATAAGAATATAACTGTCAATGTCAATCGGATGCTAAGAATCAATGGGAGGAAACTGTTGGTGACATGACTTCAAATCATTCACAATGATGATTAATTTCATGTGAAAATGCACAAAATATTAATAATAACAAAGTATTGATAACAGTTAAACTTGGAATCATATCCTAGGTAGGAAGAAGGATGGGATGGAGAAGTTTCTTCAGTATACATAAGTAAGGCTTTTCCATCCGAATCCCTAAGGCCTCCTCGTCAATGCAAAGTATGCGGAAGTATACCGTTTTCTGGGCAGGGGGAGACTTCTTTTGACTTTGTGCATAACTTTGAATGAATTCTCCTTGCATATTGAGTGGTGGTGGTGAGTGTAGAATATTTATTCAGCTGTAGCACTCATTATTGATCCATTGTAGACAAGCGAGATAATATTCCTTGACTCTTTTAGATAAAACATGCATTGAATGACCCATATATCTTGCTCCAAATGAGCAAGTAAATCGATAGATACGTATAAGAGTGCTCAAATGCTATAGTTTATCTTTAGAGTTATTGGAGAAAATTGGGTGGCAAGAGAGTACCAGTCTAAATGTACGAGCGTCAGCATTCAGCGTCAAAAATAAGATGTGGATTTTCAACTCCAATGTGAAGTCAGTGCTACTATACGGATGGATCAGAGACTTGCACTGCGCGTCATAAAGAGCATCTAAACAAACTACATACCTTCATCAGCAGCTGCCTTCGCTCAATACCCAGGATCAGATGGCCGGCCAGAAAAGATCAGCAACAGGGAGGGGTTTCTGGGAGCGAACCAACCGAGCAGGAACCGATTGTGAGACAAATAGGCAGGAAGAAATGGAGATGGATTGGCCATACTCTTAGGAAACAAACCATCAAGTGACATCACTAGACAAGCCATTGCTCGAGTGGAACCCGAAAGGGAAGCGGCGAGTTGGTCGTCAGTGCGAAGGTGGGGTGACTTGGAGGAGGTGATGTGAAGAGGAGATGAAAACGTGTGGGCAGACATGGAGCCAGGTGAAGACTCTAGCAGAGAACCGAACGCAATGGAGACACACGGCTGAAGCCCTATGTTTCTCTAGGAATTAAAGGAAATAATAATAATTCTTTAGAGTGTCAGTCAGAAGGTCGCTTTTAACGCCACCATCATGCATAGAGCATCTTCTTTGTTAAAGAGACCGGGTATTCTTCCCCGTGGTTTCGTGTTTTATGTGTTTATCTATGAAACGTGAGGGGTAGTTGTTTTCATTTAATATCTTCCTGAGAATAGTGATCTCTTCGTCTAACGACCCAGAGCTGCAGATTTTTTGGATCCAATTCGAGTGAGATATCATCAGATTTCTTTTGAGATTTTTGAGTACCCAACTGTAAAAGTTTGTCAACCAGTCGTTCCACTTATTTTTTTTATATATAGTAATCTGTTCAATGTACTACCGCCCATCTTTCTTATTTGACGGTTCAGAAAGGTGATTGTTTATTCCGGTTTCTACACATTTATTTCAGAAGTGATACTAAATATAGGACTAATTAGGGCTTTATATAATCACACATTCCTTCACATTAAATGTGAATGTGCCATAGCTGCTAGTGACACAGTTTCAGATCGTTCTCAATGATAGGGATGCATTCACTTGTTATAATCTTCCAGATTCTGAAAATCCTTCTCATTCTTCATCCCTGATACTCGTCTTATCATGCACCTTTGTTTGTTTTGGTTTCATTACATTGCTTTCCTATAAATTAATGTATGCTCATTTCTAAAATATGACAGCTTGAACTAGTACGGTTTTATGCACAGTTCTACACTGATAATTCTGTTCATTCTGGCTAATAAGAGTTGCCTTAATGTGGATACTCTGTTTTTACGTGACACGACTAAAGTAAAGGAAGCGTTTTTGTAAGGTAGAACATAATAAACTGTTGGTTGACATGAATCCCGGAAATTTGGAGATAGTCTTTTTTCAAGTATTGGTTTTGTAGGGATTTTTCTTGTTTGATTCGTTGGAGGATTTCATCATGAGCTGATATCAGTTAGAGAGCCATCGGAAAACCACCAGGGAGTACTGGACATCTGTTTCGTTCTAGTTTGGGACTATTCAGCAGCACGCACTCACCGTCAACGTTCGAACCCAGGACCTTCTAGTTACAAGGCTAGCGACCATTGAGCCACTGGGACCCTATCCAATGACCAACCCATTATTCTAACTTCTACCAATTCATGACATAGCGCGACCATTTCTCAATGTCTTCTTCGATGAGTTACTGCCTCACCTTCAACCACCTGCTGTACCCTACTGGTCATGGCTTCCCACTAGAACCCCAGGTAACCCCAGGCCTGAATAGGGTCAGTCGCTAGTGAGCATCAGATGAATTTCCAAGTATTTGTTTTTCTAGGGGTTTAGTCTGATTGGTTGGAGGATTTTATCATGAGCTCTTGGTGAATAAAAATCCTTTAGAGAAAATGGATTTTTATTTGGTTGATGGTGGTTATTAATGGAATGTAGGATATGCATTTAGTCCTATTCGGAACTCGTCACTGGATATGCCTGTTTCTCAAGCATTGTCTTCAGTATAGTCAATTAAAATAATGGTGACTCATATCCGTTGAGCAAGAGTTGGCTTTATTGACCCAATAGTTTAGCGGACAACATTTTGGTGTTTGGAGCGACAGATGTCCAGTTGGATTGTCAGCGGGAACATCATTCACAACTCACTGGGGAGGCAGGTGCATCCAACTGATTAGTCTCAAATAGAATGAAATGAGCATTCTGGATTCCACTACTAGCCACCAATAAGCAAAATAACATCAAGTTGTTCTTCAGACACAGCCGCTGACATGTCGACAGAGACCTAGTAAATAAGAACAAAACATCCGTCTATTGCTCTGTAGCTTTCAATGTTTATCCAATGGATATCGATCCATAAACAAACCTGCTTCCAAATCAGTCATAACCGCACCCAGATAATGCGTCATGTATAACCAATTAGTACAGCAAGCCTTTAATGTTGTGCAATTACACTACCATGTCTAACCCCCCAAAAACGCGGGTGCATCTCTTCAAATTTCTACATTTCGAAATAATTCAGAGAAAATAAGAGAACAGAAGTTGTTGATACTAGACGAAAGTGAAGAAGTGAGCAAACCGACGGTAATTAGTTAACATTTTCACTTATGCCAATGTAAGTGCCTTCGACTTATGTTCATGTATACGCAGGATTTCCAAATCTTGATTTTTAGCATCTTTGGAGCCTAGCCGGTCAGGTTACACCTCCCTATGCATGATCAAATCGCTAGTCATTGGATTTTTATTTATATTTCCTGAATACTTCATTGTTCCGACATATTTAACTAAGGCAGTTTGATAGATGTTAGTTATGTAAGAGGTATATAAATTTTCCTATATTAAATTATATTTATTGATTATGAAGTCGTTTATAGTAGGGTTGCAGGAATTTCAGTAGTCCTTGAAAAATATGCTTCAAAGAAATTCCGATAATATGCTTCAAGGACGTATATGATCGTATCGATGGACAGTGTTTCATAGTATTTATGATCCAGCGTCTAAATAAAG